CGGGGAGGGCGAGCGGGGGGCGCCGCCACCCTTTCATCCCACCCTCCAAAGCCCTGCACACTCGCAGCCCGACTCACATCCGTAACAACGACAACGACGCGCTGCTCGGGGGGGATCTGCTCCCTCTCCGCCCTCGCCGCCACTTGCAGAAGTCTCTCCCCCGGGCCTCCCGCCGCCTCGCTGGGGAGGGGGCTCGCGCGCAGGGCGCTCGGGGTAGCCGGGCCAAGCCCCCCGGAGCGCTGGGCGCCCGGCCCGCCGCTCTCCTCCGCGCCCGCCCGGAGCGCGCCCCGAAATAGCCGGCCTGCCAACTTCAAAGGGCCGCCCGGCACATCAAAGCGCGCGGGCCGCCCCGCCACCGCGGCCTCGGCACTCACCATTGATCCGCACGAGCGTTCCGCGGCGAGACTTCGCAGGCGCCCCGGGCAGGGCCCCGGCCCCCGGCTCGGCTCGCAGCGGCAGCCCTGGGCCCCCCCGGGCCGGTCCCGGCGTCGGGGAACATGGGGAGTCGCGCGGCAGGGGAGGGGGGGTGAGGGGAAACAATCCCGGATTAGAGCAAGATCCACCGGCGAGGGAGGGGGAAGCGGCGCGCCCCACCGCCCCTTTTATGCAAAAGATCCGAGTGGGCCTCCGCCCCCGCCGAGGCCGCCCCCGGCCCCTCCGGCCCCCGCCCGGCCCGGCTTTCAACACAGGTCCTGTTTCCAGCAGTCACTCCGCGCACCAAATGTCCTCCGGGCGCTTCCAACAAAAACTGCGCTGTGGATTTAACTGTGCACTTCAAAGGCGCGAGCCGAGCGCACGGTCCTGAAAGGGAGGTACGCGTCGGCCGCGCCCCGGGCAGCCCCCAGTGGCCCCGCCGCCCCTCCTGGGGGTCGTCCGGCTTGCACCGCCCCTCCCGGCCTTGTCTCAGCCGGGCCGGACCCCCTCCCGTCCCCGGCGCCCGCAAGGACGGCTGGGCGCGACCTCGCCCCCTGTCCCAACGGGGCTTTCTTTGAAGAAGCTCTGCTGGGGCCGCGCCTCCACCCCCACCTTTTACAGCAGGGCTTTCGGCGGGGGAGACGGGCGCCTCGGACTCTGGGCGGTCCCGAAATCCACGGCTATGAGGGGTTATTTTTATTTCCCGGCTCTCGGGTTATTACTGAGTTGCCAGGACCTTATCAAAGCGCAGCGGGCTCCAGCCGACTCCCCCGGGCCGGGCTTGGGGAGCCAGTGATCCCGCCGCGCCAATCACAGCCGCGTTTAGCCGGTCCGCGCCGCCCGCCTTAAAGGGACAGCGCCCGGCGCCCGTCCGGGCCGGGCCCAGCCCGCCCCAGCCGCACGCTCCGCTCCAGTGTTAACCCATCTTGGCCCTCCTCCGCCCCCTGCCAGGCCTCCCGCCGCCCCAGGGGCGCTCTCAGCCTGAGTTCTGATTCTGTCTTTCAAGTTCTCTGGCCTCTTTGCTCTGGCTTCCTCCCCCTGCCTGCCCTCGTCCTCTCCAACTCTGGAAAGCAACAGTTTATTGTAGCATTCTGGCCGTCGCAAGAACTGCAAGCAAGCAGAATTTTTTTTTCTATCATCAAACACTTTTCCACCTCTACTCAAGTTTCCCTGGGAATCTGGACTTGGAGGATCTTGTACAGGGAGTTCTAGTCCTGGGATCGACTGGCCAAGTGTCATAGGGCGAGCGCGGGCCTGGGCACAGAAGGCGTGAGCATGCTTGTGTAACTGAGTGTGAGTTAGGACCACGGAGCGTGCGTTTGTGGATGTGTGAATGGGGTGAGAATCTGCCAGCACTGGCCTGAGTGCTGAAGATGGGATCTGACACCTCGTTAGGAAGCATGCCTCAATTCCCTGAAGATTTAACCCCCGTTTCCCAATCTGGCCATCAGCACTCTCCTTGCGCACACATCTACCGGCCATCTTTCTGTAACAACCGCATGCATCCCCAACACTCTCTTGCAAGCATCCCTCATCCTCCCATATGTTACATATTAAACAGACATGGAATGTCTTTTTTCCCCTCCACCCACAGTTTTAATGTATTGAAAACTCCTCACCCCACTGTCACCTTTGAATTCCTGCTCACATTTCCCCAATGTTTATAAGGCACAACCTTCTCTTCTCACTTCACGTAAGGAGAAGATACGCCACAAACCTAGAACATTGTTTATTCACTCATCTATTGTTATAGAATGACCTCTTATATGATGAGCTAATAATTGACTTTTCCTCCTCTTAAAACACGTAAAGATGTAAACCAAATTTGTTCCAAGAAATGAGAGGCGCAGCCCAGCACCATGCGAGCTGTGCAAGGCTTCGGCTCTCTAACTCGACTCACTTTTTCTCTATTTACTTGCTTGTTGAACTTAAAGGATGACAAACCCTTTTCAATGCAGAGGTGCCTCTAATCTGTCATTAAGGGGTTCAGAACTTTGAAACATGCCAGAAATGTGGAAGGACAGGAAAAGACAAGCACAGCACATGGACCCCAGCCTAAGGGGCTGTGAAGGGACTAGAGTCCTTGTTCAGCTCCTGGGTGCCAAGGCGGGTGGCATCTCCCTCCCCAACACCTGCTTCTCTGTGTCCATGGCCTGCCCCTCTGGGCTCACCTCCCCAGGAGGCCAGGCTGGCATAAAGCCAGCAGTACAGCCACCTCAGGGCAAACCAGGGAGACCAGTGAGAGTGTGGCCCGATGACTCATCTTTGCCTTGGGACAACTGCTGGGTGTGAGGAAACTGGAAGCCAGTCCCCTTTAGGTTAGCTGATATGTGGGACCCATGGCCAAGGGCACTCCCACCCCCTTGAGCCACCCCAGGAGAGCCAGAAGCAAAGCTGTCCTTTGGTTCCCCAGTCTTTAGGCCACAGAGGGTGTTATTACAGGAACAAAAGTGTATACAGAGGGGGATGAATTGCTATAGAAGTGTCTACAATATAAACAGCAGCAGCATACACACACACACACACCACACACACACACACACACACACACACACACACACACACACACACATTGGGGGAGGGGAGATGGAAAAATCCAAACATCCAAAATCAAAATAAACAATGATCAGAAAGAGGAGGCTTTAAAAAAGGAAGTGGGAACTTGGTCTTCATGGGTGGTTTTGTCCCCTCCCAGCTGACCCCCAGCCTGCCCTAATCATCACAGGGCTGCAGCAGCAAGAAGGGGTACTGGAAAGGGGGTGCAGGAGTAAGGGCCAGTTCCCAGTAGCTCTTCTCACTAATGACCCCTCTAAGAGCCTGGTTTTCAGAACAGGTGCTTGGTCCCCTTGGGCCAATGACTCCCTCTCCATCTCACTCCTTTCCCCCCACCCCTCAAGTTCCTAGCTGGTGGTACACTGCCCAGCCAGCAGGAGGCTGGCCCAAATGCTGAGAAGCCAGGAGCCCTCTGCAGTCTCCAGGTCTTTGACTACTTGTTGATAATATTTCTGGAGGAGAATCCAAAGTCCTTTGCTTATACCCAGTCCCTTTCTCAAGATAGCACGGTTTTCCATTTTCCCCTTCTCCCTGGCAGCAGCGATATCATGTGACTTGTTGTAATCCTGCATGGTTGCCTGGAAACTGGAAAGCAAGGTGATGGATTTCTGCACATGCTCACTCTCCCCCCTCCTTTAAAGAAAAACCTTACGGAGGAAAAACAGCCCACTTTGCCTAAGTGCAGACAAGTTTAATAAAGCAGGGAGTAATTCTTTTCTGGAATTAGGTACCAGGCTGAAATCCTAGAATCCCAGTAAACAAGGACTCAACGCTCCCTGAGAGGCATCTGGCCAGATCTCCAACCTTTAGTCAGCCCCACAAATACCCCTCTGGAGGGGAAGTCACACCAGCTGCGACTTCAGAGGAGTCCAGACCCAGGACATTGCTCACTAAGATTCAGTGACTTTGTCTTTTATTTCTTTGGAAAAGTGCCACCTTAGACAATGCACCTTTGTTTAGAGAGGGAGGTAGAAAGAGACACAGGTAACCTTTCCTAAGACTGCAGGTCACCTAAGCACTCTGAGTCCCTGTGTGTTCACCTGTAGAGTGGAGGAAACACCCCTCAAAAGGCTGTTGTGAGGATAAGCGATAAACTAAATGCCCAGCACAGTGCTTGAGACACAGTAGGTGCTCAAAACATGGTGGTTATTTCTGCATAGTCACCCTGCTCACTCAATAGCCTGTTACTTGTTCTGGGAAGAAACTCCCCAGCTCCAAAGCAAAGGTGTCCTCCAACTAGGAGCCACACTTCTGGGGATGGGGGCCTATAAGCTGACCAAGAGTTCCTGCAGAGGTGAGTACCCCACCACCACCATCTTCCCTGCAGAGAAAATCGGGGGGGGGGGCAGGGAGGCAAAGGGAGCTGTGCCTTTTTATCATCTCCCAAAGGCTATCAAAGAAATAGCAGAATTTTCTAGCCAGGGGCCCTTCAAGTATTATTTAATTCAACCCATCATCTTAAGATGGGGGGAATTAAGCAAAGAGAAGGTGAAGAGATTTTCCCAAGATCGCTCCCGCCATGTTGGAGCTGAGCTAGCCTCCTCCGGGCCCTGACCGCTGGTCTATCCTCTTTTCCTCCATAACATGGTGAGGAGACCCAGGGCAGAGCTGGCTAGGAGGTGGCCCTGAACATCTTCAGTCCTTGACTTCCACGGCAGGGCTAATAAATACGAGTTGGGATGCTTTCCTACAAGAATCACCACAGGACTTCAGCCTGAAATTCAGCTGAAACACACTTCATTCAGCTCCTTCTTAGGTACAGTCTTGACACCTCGGAACTGGGCTACCCTCAGCCAGATCCTGGGAGGGTCTGCCAAATCTTTTATGGTGGCGGACCAAATGTTTCCATGGGTATCTCAGTGAGGTTGGTCCACCTTAGGGAGAATGGACTTTAACCTGAGGCCAAGAGGAGGAAAAGAAGTCAGACCCCACCTTCGGCCCTGCTGTCTGCTTTCTTCCTCTCTCCTTAGCATTTGAGGGACCAGGAATGTGAAGGTGGAGAATTTGAAGCCACAAGCGAAAAAGTGAAATTCCCCTAAGAAATCCTATCCATAGAAGTGTTGGGGGAAACTTATTTGTTAATAAAATTATCATCTTTAGTATGTTAAATGTAAAGCACAGTTATGTTAAAACAATGATTTAAAACGTCCTACTCTGCTTTACTTGCAAGTGCTTTTTACATTTATTATAAATGGAGCTACAAACGACTGGGGTTTGCGGAATCGCGCCAGTCATCATCTTGGAGTTTGGCTTTTAGGAGTTGGCCTGAGTTTGTAACCAGAAGAGACCATCAATATTACAATGAATCCAGAAAGTGGTTCTGATGTTTGAAGTGATCTCCTCCACTGTGTCAAGCAGATGCACACACAGAAGGTTGTTTTCAGAGAAGGGAGTGAAAAAAAGATATAGGAAAGAGAAACTCCGAAGTCAGCACTCCAACAGGGAACGTGTGAAATTTTGCTAATAAATAGGTCTATTTCTAAGCTCTCTCCATAGACATTTTTTTCCCCCTGCTCCTGACATTTCATCTTTATCATTTGAAACAACTTCTGGAAAGTGAATGGTTGCCAAGCTGGAAAATCAGTTCCTTTGTTCTTTCGTGTCAGTGTTTCTTGATTTGCTTTGAGCATTTCCGCTGACTGAGTGCTTTTCCGGGCTGAAGGGTTTGCCTCAGTGGGCCAGGATGCTTGACAGAGTCCCAGGCTGCCTCACAACACCTGGACAGGTTCTGGGCTCTGCTCCCTGTTTGAAGAACCTTCCCTAGGTCAAGTCCACAACGTACTGCTTTATTCCGTAACCTGCCGCTGCTGGAGCGAGAGCATCATCTTTTGCCCGTTGGCTTCAGAGCCCTGAGGGAGTATAAGATGGCTGGCAAACCCCTTTCAAGAGGAGTCTACACTTGTTGTCTACACTTCTTCCTCGCTCAGGGTCTCCTCAACCCAAGATAATCTCTCCTCCTCGAAAACCATTTTCAGCCAGGTAGAAGACGTCCTAATTGCTAAGTTTCATGGGTCCATTTTGATTTGTACATGGCTTGGCTTATCTGCAGCTGCCTTTCCTTTCCAATTCCCTCTCACGGATCTCATAGGATTTTCTGAACGTGACCACCTCCTCCTCTTCAGGACACCTCTTCCTCCTCCCCACGGCACACATGTTGCTCTTTCTCTGGGTTCTTTCCCCCTAAAATGCTTTCTCCTGTCCTCACCCATAGTGCCAAGCGCCACTCTCTAGACAGAAGGACCTCCCAGACCTGCAGCGTGCCCTCTTTCCCTCATCACCTCCTTCCGAGAGAGGCCAGCTGCAGGCATCTGGAATGTAACATTCTGAAAACGGAACCTATTCTGTCCCTCATTGAAACCAGCCATCCTCCTGTTAGGCAGTGACCTCACCATCCCCAGCTGCGTCTGTTAGAAACCTGGGCCATGTCTAGGCTCTTTCATCCCATTCAGTCACTCAGCCCTGTTGATTCTCCCATCTGAAAATCTTCTAAAACCATCGCCTTCTCCCCACACCCACAACCACTACCACGGTTCTGGCTCTTGCCAGGAATCGCGAAACGCTCTAACTATCTGCCCTGCCTGCAGTCAATGGCCACCTGCTCCTGGGACCCCTTCCTTACATGTTGCTACCACAGACAGCATTCTGCAGTCTAAAACTGACCATGTCATTCCTGGCTTCAAGTCCTCTCCTGGCCACCATGACCTTCAGAATGAGGCGCAAAGCCCTCAGCATGGGATGCCAGGTGGTTGGCCCAAGTCGACCTCCAGCCCTATCTCTGGTTGCCACCTCCAGTCCCCTGCCAAGGGCAGTCCCCCATGGTGGCCCCATCTTCCATTCCTCTAGGCCTTCATTCTTTTTCACTCCCACCCTGCCTCATCCCCTTGGTCTGAGGGAGGCACCTCTTCTCAGTACTTCCACAGCATGGGGCTAACGGAGAGTATCTTTGGGATTAAAATGTGGTGCCCAAAGTGGCAGGGGTGGAGCTGATTCTTTGAATGATGATGGTCTTTGGAAAGCCATCCTTAGAATTCCTATCAACAATAAACTTAGATGGGGTGGGGGTGGGGGTGGAGTGGAATTCCTGAATGGAGTGGCCCAGAGTGACTTTGGAGGTCTTTTTTTGTTCTTTGATGACCATGTTAATGATGTGAGAGTATGTCCCCTGAACAAACAAGGAGAAACTGTCTGCACATCAGATATGGCTGAACACCTTTAATGGTTTTCTTAGCAAAACCATTAGTACCTCACACACAAATGAAGATGTGTGGATTGAACCTCACTTCCTGTTACCAACGTTCTCTTGATAAATACTTTCCCCAATAGAAAAAGATATAGCAACTATTGAAACTGTGAAATGTGATAATCTCAATGAGTCACCCCAACACTTAGGGGATATTAGAAAAAAATTAAGCGGCGTAAACAAGCCTTGAGCTAATCCAGCTCTTCAAACAAGGAGGAGTGGAGCAAGATGCCACCAAATGCAACAGGTGGTGAGGCAAGGAGACCAATCTTTTAGCTGATCATGTAATTTTCCCTCCCCCTGAACTCAGTATTTCTTTTTGGCAGAGTTAAATTTTGTTTTTTCAAAAAGATCAATTTGTTCAATGCATTAAATCTGTCTATTGTAAAACTTTCCACACAAATCCATTCATTCACAAGTCACAGAATGATCCAGACCTGGGGGCCTGACTTTGGAGGTCAGAAAATAACGGTCACAAAATGTGAGGGGCTTCCTCCCCTCCCCCTTCTCTATGCCAAGGTCAGAGAAGACCCAGAGAACAGCCTCTAGAGGTGTGAAGGGCAGGTGCGAGACAGCTGCCTGCCGGGTGGAGGGGGCGGAGGTGTCTTCCTGGTGTCTGCTCAGAGGGTGACTTGGAGAA